CTTGATGGGAAAATGTTTAACTACTAATAAAATTTCTTTAATGATTATTTGGCAATTGTGGCTTTTTCTTTCCCTGTGTCTGTTTTTGCTTAAAAAGTATTTTTTTCTCCAGCTGTTGAATGCAGTGTTCTCTATTTGTCCATTAGACCAAGACTGTTAATTATTTTTCAAATCTTCTACATCCTAATTTCCCATCTTCCTGTTATTAACAATTAATCTGTCAATTATTGAACAAAATATGTTAAAAATCTCCTACTATGATAGTGGACTTTGTAGATATTTTTATTTTATTTTTTTACTTTATATATTTTTGGTGTACAAATTGTATTTGTATAACTTTACAATTTTTACAAGTTTATGATTATTAAAACTTCCTAATAAGTTGTACCTTTTATCATTGTATAGTAACTATTTCCAGTAATGTGTTCTGCCTAAAATATATTTTTTCTTGATATCAGTAAAGGTGTGCCAGTTTTCTTTCAATTAGTATTTGCTTCCAATATCTTTTTCTATGCTTTCATTTTCAAACTCTCTACATTCTTATTTTGGGGGGATGTGTCCTGTAAACAGCATATAACTGGATTTTGCTCTGTTTTACAGTCTAATGCTCTGTGTGTCTCATTAGTGATTTGGTCCATTTGCATTTATATTGATCACAGGTATATCTAGATATATTTCTACCATCTTATTTTGTGTTTTTTATTTGTCATGCTTTTTTTTTTTTTTTTGTGCTTCTATTTTTCTCTTTTCTTGCCTTCCTTTGGATTGGACTTTTTTGTCATTTCATGTTTTCCCTCCAGTGTTTTGAAACTTAAAGACTCTATGAATATTTTACCAGAAGTTACCCAAATTTAACATCCATATTTTACCTTCACATTTTCATTATAAAGTTTAATAATATCTTCACCCTATGCTCAAACAATACAAGGACAAAAGAATCCGTCTCTTATGACCAGAATCTTTGCTCAGTGTTCCTTCTTGCGTGTCAGTCCTGTATTCTGTGAACATTATCCTTCTGCCTGGAGTTCACAGTGAAGTTTCTTTAGTGAGGGTCTGTTGGTAGCAAACTCTCCTAGCTTAATGTCTTTATTTTACCTGCACTGACAAAAGAGAGTTTTTCTGGGTAATTCTAGGTTGACAGTTATTTTATTTTAGCAATTTGAAGATATTCTTCTAAGATCTTCTAACTTCCATCATTGCTATTGAGAAGTCAGTTGTCAGGCTACTTGTCTTCCCTTTGTGATAATCTGTCTTCTCTCTCTGGCTGTTTTTAACGTCTCTCTGTTGTTCTGTGGTTTACTGTAATACGTGTAGGAATGAATATGTAATCATCCATGTTGGCTAGGATTTATTGAGTTCTTGAGTTTGATAATTGATATCTTTCATCCATATTGGAAGTTTCAGCTTTTTAAAAATTATTTCTCCAAAGATTAAATTTCCTAATTCTTGTTTTTCTGACAGAACTCTGACCAAATGTGCATTAGATCCTTTTCATCTAGCCTGTATGACCCTTAAGCTTTTGTAGTTTCCATCTGCTTGTCTCTTTGCATTGTATTCCAGGTTACTATGTCACGTTTATTTCTCAGTTCCCTAATTCTTTCTGCAACTATGTCTCATCAGCTATTTAACACATGTATTAAGTTTCTTGTTTTAATTGTTTATATGTCTCAGTTCTGGAAATCCTATTTGGTTCCTTGTTAAATCTGAAAGATTCTTGTTTCTTACTCGTACTTTCAATAACCTGAACTTTGTAGGATCAAATATTTTGAAAGAATTTCTTTAAGCATGCTTATTTTACATTCTGTATCTCACAATTTTAACATACATATATAAACTCTGTGGGTCTGATTACACTGTTTCTGCTGATTCTTGTTTATGTTGGCTTTTCCTATGTGTTTTGTGATTTTTTTTGATTGGGAGCTTATGTTCCTTAACACTTTATTTGTAAAGATTCTTAAAGCCTAAGTTAAGATCCATTCTTCCAGAGAAGGTATGTGTTTTTATCTGTCAGCATCTGTGGGTTCTATCAAATTGGATACTTTAAATTCTTGGGGCTGGCTGGTTAGCTCAGTTGGTTAGAGTGTGGTGTTAGAACGCCAAGGTCAAGGGTTCAGATGTGCCCACTGGCCACAGCCAAAAAAACAAAACAAAAAACAACAAAAAAACCCACACCCCACAATAAAACAAAGAACAAAATCAACCAAACAAAAGTTCTTGACTTGGTTTGCTGGGACAGTCAGGTAGTGTAAAGTCTAACCCCAAACTCACATGTGGGCTTGTTTCGGGTTAAGAATTCTCATCAGAGACCTCTTCTTCCCTTCACCAAAAGCCAAGGCAAAACAGCCAATTTTCCTTATTTTCTCCCTTGGGGAGGGGAGACTGTTACTTCAATCACTGGTGTCACTTTCTATGGGTCTCTTTTATTTGCTGTGGTCTTTGATCCAGTCTCCTCCCTTGCCTGGACCCTGACCTTTCTCTACTGTCCCCAGTCACGGTCTGTTAATAAAGTGCTAGGTCGCCAAGAGCTGGCACATGCCTTGAGGAATTCTGCCACCTTCAGTATTTGTTTATCTCTCTAGATTTGGGCCGCCTCTTATTTTTGACTTCTGATTACTTCTTTTATTTTTTCACCAACTTAGCAATGCTTTAAAAATGTTTTATAAACTTTAGGAACATTGTTTGGTGTTTACTCTAGGATGGTTTTAAAGGCTCTTATCTTCCCTGTTGCTAGAAAATGAAACTTGTGAAGATGGAGAAAAAGAGGAGGGCTAACTGGTAAAGGAAAGTCTCAGGGGAGAAAAGGACAGGGTCAGAGGAGGACAGAGATGAAAGGACTGGCTTTGAATAAAGGAGGCTGTGGTAGTCTGAATAACGGCCCCCAAAGATGCTCACATGCTGATCCTTGAAACCTGTGACTATGCTACCTTGTAAGGCAAAGGGACTTTGCACATGTGATTAAGTTAAAAATCTTGGAAAAAGGGAGAGCATCCTTGATTATGTACACGGGCCTTAAATGTAACCATAAGTGTCCTTATAAGAGGAAGATTTGACTACAGAAGAGGAGAAGGCAATTTGATGAGAAAAGCAGAGATTGGAGTGATGTGCTTTGAAGACAGAGGAAGGGGCCACATGCCAAGGAATGCGGGTAGCCTCCAGAAGCTGAGAGAAGGCAAGGAAACCGACTCTAGCACTTCCAGAAGGAAATATCCCTGCTGACACCTTGTCTTTAGCCCAGAGAAACTGACTTCAGACTTCTGATTGAACTGGGAGAGAGTAAATTTGTGTTGTTTTAAGCTACTCAGTTTGTGGTAATTTGTTACAGCAGCAATGGTAAAAGAATACAAAAGGTCAACTTCTCTGGCAGCTTAGAGATGGGCCTTTCTCCAACACATTCATCTGTAAAGCCAAATTTGGGTATGGAAATGTTTACGTTATAACTAATTTGTATGTATTAAAATATTCTAAATATTATCAAACTTAAATATAAATGAATTGAAATTGAAAAATACCTTCCTTTAACTAAAATGTGTCTGTGGCAAATCATAGCAATGCATGTAAAATCAGTGATGCATAGAATTTAATTATGTCTAAGCAACAGGGTAGAAAGGGATATTTAAATTGTCATAATGGAGACATCGAAGGCAGACTGTAGTAACTTCAATTGTTGCTTTTACTAGCATTGTATGTAAAGTTGTGAAATATCTTGCACCAAAATGCAGCACAGAGGAGTTAAGTAACTTGCTCAATGTCACACAGTTAGTAAGTGGCACTCTCAGCGCCACAAATGTTTGCTGAATGAATACATGGTGCCTTTAAGGTCCACTTAGCAAAAACTGGGGCAACAAAGTGGGGAGGCACGAGGCCTCAAATGCCCCAGGACAGACCTCTGATCAGGTAAAATTGTCTGGATCTGTCATACACTTCCTGGTTTATATGTCTGGATCCCCAGTATTTAGCTCGGTTTTTTTCGCAGAGTTTTCCCATTCCCCTCTGATGCTTGAGATCACCTTTCAGGGCACTGATGTATCCAGGTATCTGGCTCAGCATCTAGCCCCGGGGCATCACCAGCTGCTACTGTTATCTATTTGGCTCCCTAGGCCTCTCTACACTCTCATTAATGTTGCCTCAGTTTCCGAGTTGGTTATTCTTTGTTGTAGGTGCTGTATGGGACACCACTCTTATGGAACACAAGAATTTGTTAACAAAAAAACAACATAACATCTTCCAGTAAATAAATGTAATTGGAAATTTAATGAGAAACAAGTTTAGAGC